CCCGAAACCCGAAACCCGAAAACCCGAAACCCGAAACCCGAAACCCCGAAAACCCGAAACCCGAAACCCGAAACCCGAAACCCCGAAACCCCGAAACCCGAAAACCCGAAACCCGAAACCCCGAAACCCCGAAACCCGAAACCCGAAACCCGAAACCCGAAACCCGGAAACCCGAAACCCGGAAACCCGGAACCCGAAAACCCGAAAACCCGAAACCCGAAACCCGAAACCCGAAAACCCGAAAACCCGGAACCCGGAACCCGGAACCCGGAAACCCGAAACCCAAACCCGGAACCCGAAACCCCGAAACCCCGGGACCCGAAACCAGAACCCGAAACCCCCGAACCCGGACCCCCGACCGTGCAAAATGTTCAACCATCTTATAGCCCCCACTTGGGTGATAAGCCTTCGTTAGAGAGTCAGCGAACAATACTTGCTGGATAGAAGATTATATACAAGTTATAACATTGGTTTTCTATCGATGTGGGACTAAAAATTGAAAATTTTCAAAAATTACAAGAAGATGATTTAATTGACATCAGAAATTCTTTACTATTGTTTGAGCTCGAACATTGTTAATTAACTGATCGGGTGCCTCTTTTGTCATAAGCATTAGTCAGTATATATTAATTATGTTGTATTTCTCCATTTTTAATCACCTTAACCTTGTCAAAGTTGTCACTGAGAGGAAATCTGTATTGTTTGAGCTGGCATTCATTACATATGCATGTTACCTGTTTGATGAAATGCGCAAATGACATTTATATATGCATTTTATATCTATTTATTTTTCTTCCCTGTATCATCTATTTCGATGATTTTGTGCCTCAATCAATACATTATATTGTACATGCCCGAGTTTTGCTGCTTATTCGTTATTTCTTTCCCCTGTTCTGTTTTATCAGGATAATAGAGAATGCTGTCAAAGTCGAGACATTTTACGTTCTTTTTCACAATGGCATGCTCGATTTTATTCGAATAGTATAAAACAAGATTGTTGTAGCTATAGCAATGGACTTGGTGCACTGTTGCATAACAGTTCTCTGTTTCCGAGCGACTTAACGTTAACAACGATGATTTCCACCCTCCGTCAATATCATGGTATTGGATCGAGAATCACGAGATTCGTGTTCAAGATTCCGACATGAAGAGCATATAGTAAACGAACTTGGTAAGATCTGCAATATTCTAAAGAATCAATTCGATTCCACCGATTCTGTTGTGAAAGCATTAGATGGTTTTACTGTTGACGTGTGCGATAGTTTAGTTGATCAAGTACTGCATAGATACCAGCTTTCGGGTTCTTCGAATGGGCCGAGTCGGAAAACGGGGTTGCACATTCGCCCGACAAAGCTGCCGTATCCAACACTCACGCTGCCTCCTTCTCCCATTTTTCAACCGCCGCCGTTTCAACGGCCACCGCCTCCGCCTCCTCCCATCTTCCTTTTTTCAACAACGCCGTTCGCCGCCACAGTTTAGCAAACTTGTGTGTATGTAAACTTAACTCATCTTTAACTTCAGAATTAAGAATGTATTTTCATTTTTGGGGCACAAAATCATCCCTCCATTTCTGCCATTGCACAAACATAAAGAGTTTAATATTTTTTTTCTCTTATTGTCTTATGATTTTTCCACAATTTTTTATCTGTTTGTTTCTTCATGGTGTCTTATGCTTTTTCCACACTTTTTCCACACTTTTTGATCAATTAATTTAATTGATTAATTGAATACCAGTAGGGTGCGATCAAGATGGTGGAATATGGTGGTCGACGAGGGGAAATACGGTGGAGCGATCAGACGCTTCTACCTCTGCGTCCCATCAAGCAATTCTCCGGCACCGTCTCTTGCTGGTAAAAAGAGGACTGACTACTGATACGATTTTTGCTTTTTCTTTAAATTGTTTGAACTTCAATAAGTGATTTATGTATCAGCCGTATAATCACGTGAGCCATATAGGTATTCTGATTTCAAGTTTTCGGCCCTCAATGAACCCTTGTTTCGTTTCGGTCGGCGACACTCTAGGTTGTGCTTCTGTTTTTTCTTCTTTTCCCCTTTCATTGTGATTTTGGGCTAACGGGAATATAGTATCGTCCCCTTGTCCCTTGCAGGTCCTTGAGGGTATGGTTCTCCATAGGAGTCGTATTTAGTTTGGCTGCTTTACTTGGAATCACACTAGTCAGTGGCTGATCTTCAACGTTGTCTATTTTTTTTCCCTGAACTAAGAGAATTGTTTACGATGGCTTTTACCCTTAATCTTACATTGTTCTTTGTTTTCATTTATTTTTTATTTTCAGATTATTCTATGTGAATTGGTCCGAACAACACTTGTATGTGCCGGAAAAACCTGTACGGGTAACTCCTTGTTTGGGCTTGCCGCTGTGGTTAGTAATAAATCATTTGCCCTACTCCGCTCTTGGGTAGATGTTTGAATTTCATCTACCAGAGAAGTCAAGTTATGTGAAACTGAAGTGTCTTGATTTTAACATTTCAATGTCGCGGGAGTTATTTATATAAACAGAAAAAAGGTCACAACTCTTATATTTGGGGTTTATCTCTAACTTGCACGTACTTCTATCAGTCTATGTATTACCAATAAACAGTGAGATGTGTAGAACCTATGGCAACTTTATTTGTTATATTACTCTTTGTAATTTGAATGAGTATTAGCTACTTAAGAAGTACACTTGAATATTTGGTCATTTGGCATTTGTTGTTTCCACATTTCATTGTTTTTTAAAAATAACAAGTGGGTCAGTGGTATATTTGTGCTTATCTTCTGTCATATGCGTATTTGTTCATGAGCTTGGGCATGCTCTTGCAGCAGCAAGGTAAGATTCATCTCCTTTCGTTCTAAAATAGCATGTCCTTTAGTTGTCATTCACCTATTAATGCCTACATGTAGTTCTAAAATCCTTTTTTTAAATGTCCTCATTATCAACTCTCAATTAGGACCGGCAATTGAGCCGGGCCTAACCGAAGCCCGATGGCTCGGCCCGATTATATTTGAGCCGAGCCTACTTTTTAGTGAGCCGGGCCGAGTTTGAGCCATTTTACTAAACCCGATTTATTTATGAGCCGAGTTTGAGCTTACTATGGCTCAACCCGAATAAGGCCCGACCGATTAGGATAATAATAATATATAATATATTTATTATTTTAATACTATGACTCAACATACAAGTTATGACCGTATAAGATTCTTTGATTTTGCGAAGAAAAAAAATTCAAAATAAAAGGAATTAAGTAGTGACGGTGGCAATAAGTTAAATATGAATCAAATACAACATATCACCGAGATTTGAGAATATAAAATTATTCCAATAATAAGAGTTACTAATTTTTTTTTACTTATTTCGGTTTTATTTTCAAGTTTTTCCAATAAATTTCAATGATCGTTTATGATTTTTTTTATTAGATTCAATGGAGGTAAATCTTGTTCATTGCTTATTTTTATAAAAAAAAAAATTCTCGTTACAATTATATAGTAATGGGGCCCGATATAAACCCGAAACCCGAAAAAATACATAAGCCGAGCTTGAGCCTATTCTAATGAGGCCCGATGAGATGTGAGTTTGAGCCTATAGTAACGAGGCCCGATGGGATGTGAGCTTGAGCCGACCCAAGCTCGGCTCACATGGCCCGATTGCCAGCCCTACTCTCAATTGATGATAACATGGTCTCAACGTATTTTTTATTTTTTATTTTATTAGAATACAGTTTACTTATTTAATTTATTAGAATGTTACTCTACCCCTTAATCAAAACTACCAACATTCTCAATACAATATTTCATTTCTTATTATTAAATAAAAAAAATCACGATAATCAATTTTATACCGCCTGATTTAATATAGAATTAGTTACAAATTACGATCATTAAACCCTCTACTAGTAGTGCAAGCCTCAAAACTACGCACCTTTTATGGGGCAATTATGATCTTAGAGTGCAGACTATGCAGCATCCGGTGTCCGCAAGTACTAACATCTTTACCGTTAAATCATGAATAAGATAAACTAGTTGGTGTTGTAACAGCCATAACCAGTTTGAAAATATTCCTTGATGAACTAAGAAAGAAACAAAAAAAAATGGTGTACAGGTTAAAGTTATGCAATTTTCACATTCATATAAGATATGATCATCTTAAGAATTGGGGAATAAGCGAGTTTGTTGGATAGAGGATCTACCTCACAATGATTGTCGCGGATGCAATTTCTTTGGAGCAGTGAGGGTGTGCACGTCGAGTATGTTGCTATCTTTTTGGCTGTGTTGTTTCCAGGAGCTTTGGTGGCTTTCAATCACTCATCATTGCAGGCATTGCCTGTGGTTGCTTCTCTCCGTATATACTGTGCTGGTTTTGAGGCGGTCCGATGCGGTCTGAGGTGGTCCGAGGCGGTCAAACCTTTAAGGCGGGTCAAACTTCGGTGGAAAAAATCGGCAAAAAATCGGGCGAAAATCGGTTTTTTTTTTTTTTTTTTTTTATAAATCAAAATAAAAGTTGGAATTTAAATAAAAAAAAAAGGAGTTTATGCTTTATTTTGTTTATGTTAATTATTATTGTTAAAGAACTAATGATGTATGCCAAAAATGTATGTAAATTCAAAAAAAATTGCCTTTTTATTTATATTTTATAAGGATATTTATGTATTATGATTTTATTATTATTAAACTTTTATTATGTTATTAGAATATATACATGATGGAGATATAACTATGTTTAAATATTTTTTATCTATGTTTTGAGTATTTATAAATAATATCTACAAATATATTATATTAAATTTTAAAAACCGATTTATTTCCGATTTATCACCGATTAATCACCGCCGCACCGATTAATCGTGAGTCGGTGCCTGACCGAGTCGGACCCGATTACCGATTTTTACAACCTTGATTAGTATTAGTATTAGTATTAGTATTAGGATTACTATTAGTATCAGTATTAGTATTAGTATTAGTATCAGTATTAGTATCAATATCAGTGTTAGTGTTAGTGTTAGTGTAAGTGTTTAAGTGTTAGTGTTAGTGTTAGTGTTAGTGTTAGTATTGATATGAGTATTGGTATTAGTATTAATATTGATATTAGTATTGATATTGGTATTGACATTGATATTCGGTATTGTTATTCGTATTAATATTTGTATTCTCAGGTATTAGGGCATCTCCAATGGAGTAAGCAAACTCCATTTGGCTTCAACATATAGAAATTGTAGAAGAAAATTCAACACCAACAAGAAATTTAGTAGGTCTCTAAATTTTCAGATTTTTGCATAATCTCCAAACTTATTCATAAATATAGGACTTTGTTTAGAGACTCGTGTGTATTTCATGGTACTTTGTTTAGGGACTCAAAATTATAGAGTCCTCCATTGTCAAATTTTATTTTTTAGAGACTCTAAGATTCCACCGGGTCTCCAAAATAGAATTTGGAGACCAAATTTGCTTACTCCGTTGAAGATGCCTTTAGTATTACTATCAGTATTGATATTAGTATTAATTTTATATTAGAATTAGAAGTGGCATGAACTATTATACGTCGCAATGTGGAGAGTTAAGAGTAGAGGTTGCATAAAAATATTCATCAAGCCGGAATATGCAATTAATATTACTTGCAATGTTGTCTACAAGAAAGTTTTTCAGGGAATGTTAATGTACATCATAAACATTGTATATTGTGATTCAAGTACACATTTGTTGTTTGTATTATTGATATATATGATTATTTGGCCGTGTTAAGTTTACTTGCATTTTATGCTAATTTTATTTTCGACTCCACTTATTTTTTGTTTAAATCAAGATAATTTAGTATAAATTGTAGTTATTTCTTATATTTTTAGGTGATTTGTGTTTCAGTAATGCGTATCATTGATTGCATTTGAACAATGAAAAATGTACATGTTACTTGCAAGATATTAGATGAGTTATAGGCGATGTCAATGCATGTGCCGTAAAACACTTCTTTGATAATTAAGTTTCATGTTAAGGATCCGAGTGTATTGGACGAGATAGTTGTATCATTCGGGTCAGATTATGTATCTTATTTTTTATATCACAATTTTTGTATTTTATATTTTCTTTTATCATTTATTTTATTTATCTCGATACTTAAATCAAATAGAATTGATATTGTTTTTAAATTTTAAGATTATATCGTATTATATATCAACTGTTCAAAGTTTTTGTTCGATTATTTTATTTAAAATATATTTTAATTTTTTATATTAACCGTGCATCGCATTAGAATCTTCTTTTCATTTATAAAGGTGTTTGATTTACATCGTCAATGTGTTTTAGTCATTAAAAAAATTGAAATTAGAATTGCTCTCGTGCATCGCACGGGTGAGTTACTAGTTCTTCAAAACATCTATTACTAATTATTGTATCAATGTAATCTCCATTATTGAAAAAATATAAAGTATTGAATCAATTCAATATATGAACAAATGCGTTGACTTATTACAAATTCACTTATGTTGTTAAAATCGATAGTGTCAAAAAATCGAATGTAAAAAATTATTTAAAAAAAATAGATTATAACTCATTTCAATTAATTTAAATCGTGTAACCTCAATTGTTGGCAAAAACTTATTAATATTATTGAGAATTTGATCATAAGATAATTATTTAAAAATATAAATGATGTTTATTTTAACAAAAAATACATTATATATCATTTCAATTCATTTTCTTAATTTAAAAATAACATTATATGTGATTAGTATAAACAACATATTATGATATAATTTCTCTTTTAATAATTGTTTTAATTTGTATTAATCGTAACAATTAAATTGTAGATCATATGATTTAATCCTTTTTTTCCAGATACAATCTATTCAAATATTATAATCGAATCGTAAGATTTAAATGGATTAAGCTCAAGTCCTTTTAATTTATTTTAATTCTTTATTATATTATATTTGTTAATAATTTGATTAAAATTATTCAATACTCCCTTCGTTCCCTATTAAGTGTCGTTTTTTGCTTTGCACAAGTATTAAAAAGTTCAATAAATATGTCTTGATTTTAGGTAAAATATATTAGAAAGACTAAAATATTTTAGTCTTTGTAACCTTAGTTATTTAATGATGTGATAAGAGAAAATTACTACTTATACTTGATTTAATCTATATATTCTATAAAAAGAGGATCTATGCCCTCAATGATTGACATGTGGCAAATGATGATGTCATTTATCAAAATTGCTTAGTTGGAGTTTAACTGATGAGGTGGATTCTTCAATTGGTGAGTTGCCAATTTTATTTTGGTATGTATTTAAATTATTTCCTAATTAACATTTATACACTCATTTAAACAATTACCACGTGTATATATATATATATATATATATATATATATATATATATATATATATATATGTACCGAA